AGCAATATAAGCTCCCATCCAGAAAACGTCTTTTCAGGGAAGACCTTGCAGATTTTAGCAAAACAGAGCTAAACTGCATCTATTACAAGAGTATGGCTTTGCAGTAGAAGAGTGCAGGTGCTGATCTGGCCTGCCTGCATCAACTGAAAACATTTGGCGCCTCATGAAATGAAAGGAGGAGGTAGCATCTTATGTCAGAGAAAAATAGCACAATATTCTTCTCTTCTTAAGAAGAAAGAAAAAACTAACACATTTCATCCCCTGATAACACACAATAAAGTAGTGGACCTAATCCTTGATGGGCAGGAGTGGCAACAATGATTAATAAATCAACATTAACAAAAAGTATGATGTCCAGATACAAAGATGACCAAAGTAATAAGCTAATGTTTTTTTTTGCCATAGTGAAATGTCTCAGTTTAAACAGCCAGCTGATTGATTGATGTCTTTCCTATGTTCTATTGTGAATAAAATATGGGTTCGTGAGATTTGCAAATCACTGCAATCATTAAAAAATAATTTATACCGGGAGTGTTGATAGTTTTACACAGCTTAATTTAAAAGCTTCACATTAACTTAATAGTATATGACCCAAACCCTAACTTTAGAGATAGCATGTTAATTAAAGTAATCAAGGTAATTAAAAGCCAACCTTAGAAATTAGCGTTAATTGTATCCCTTTTAACACGAATCTCTTAAAATCTCCACACAGAACAAATTGATGCTGCTGGCAGATTCAGAAGGATTTTGATGTTTAGTATATTTTTTCTGAGTGTTGTATAAGACAAATAAATAAACCAAGACATCCAAATAGTTGAAACCCAGAGAACACTTTTTTTTAAACATTTATCTGTTAGCTTAACCTCTCCTGATCCCCCTTCAGTATCCTCTCCACCTTCTTTCTCATCAAGCCACTGATGAAGTGCTTCAGGAAAAAAAAAGGACTTTTTAAAGTCTTGCCAAAAGCTTGTTGAGACATAGTAATAGGCCCGCTAGACTGGTGATGATGAAAAAGAGAGATCTGCTCACAAGATCTCATTTCAGAGCCAGTGACTGGAATGCTGTAGGCAAAAACTTGATTTGTAAGCATGAACTAACAAAGATCACTAGCACCACCTATAGATAAGCTGTGAGGGTGCACAACTTCAGGCCAATGGAAGTCATGGCAAATCAACATGAAGGGTGTAAATGCTTATTTAGATACAAAACACAGGTACAGGTGTAAGATAAAAATTTTTGTGGCTGGTTGTGGTAGTTTGCACCTTTGAAGATGCTGGTGTTCACCAGACAGGAGCTAGTTTTACTAGCTTGTACTTACTCCAGGTTTTATGTCTCCCAGGGACACCGGGGGCACAGTGCGGTACCATGACAATTGTAAAAATGGCTAATTGTGCCGTATTGAGGTGTGTAAACCATATTATCCCAGTAATAGTCATACTTTTGGACAACTTAATTGGTTTTAGCAATTGTGTTACTGAATCGCCATCGTCTACAGCCTAGACAGCGACTCTAGTATTTTTCCCAGTTATGAGTTTGCCTTTAGATTTCTATCAAATAGAATAACAGCTTGTAGTCTAAAGTGCTTTGAGTGGTCAGTTAGACTAGGAACTGCTATATAAATGCAAATCCATTTCAATTCCCCAATCCAGGAAAAATCCTGGATTCTTGCATCTTTTCTGTGAGTAATCCATTGATACATGATTGGTATCAAATAACAGGGGAAAAAATGCAAAAACGAGAAAGAAAAAAAAATCTGTGTTATTACACAACGAGTCAGTAAAATCCAAGTAGTGCTTGTTATGAGGAGATATATGAGAAGTGATTCCCCAGAATTTTTTTCTGGGGTTGCTTTAACCAGTGTTCATCGCTATTATGTTGTAAATAATCTCACATACACACACATGCAATTTTATGTCCCAAAGTAATAAGACAAAACCTAGCAAAGTCGTGACACAGCACCTGAAAGATCCATCTGGCATCTCTACTGTTCACTGAAGCCTCATCAGAAATGTCTCAGTGGAAGGGTGGCTGTCAAGAAGCCATTCTTAGGGAAGGGAAACAGGGAGAAAAGGCTGAGTTATGCCATCAGTGGTATCTTATAGATAGATGCCTTCAAATCTAAAACTTTTGGTTGAAATTGTTGTCAGTATTTATATAGGAGGTCATGAGAAAGGTACAACATAGAGTTGCAACAGCTATCTGTAAAACATAGTGGAGGCTTTGGGGCTGCATTTCAGTCAGTGGTGTTGTGGAGAGAGTTGTCAAAAATTAATGGAATTATGAATGACACACTGCCAAAACAGTGAAAGCATACCTGGATAGAAAAACACACAGTGGAACACTATCGGTCATGGATTGGCCTCCTCAGAGCCCGGACCTTAACATTATTGAACCAGTGTGGGTTCATTTTGACAGAGAACAGAACAAAAGGCAGCCAATGCCAAAAGAAAAGCCTTGAATGCTCTTTAGGAAGAACAAGAACAAAGACCAAAGACCAAATACTGATTTTCCACGTTATTAAAAGTGTAAACATTCTGCTTTGGCCAATAATCTGCTGCACCCTCTTCCCATTTTACTAGCAAAATATCAAGAACTGACAGGTACCTGAAAAATCTTGCATACTACTGTATTTTAAATGAACCTCTGCCTTTTGATCCTTTCCTATGAGTCTTGGACAAAATGACACACACACAAAAAAATCAATTAGTGTAATCATGGCTCCCAATGGAGCTGTTTAAGGTGACTTTGGCTTTCATCCAGCAGATGGCGCAGTTATTCACATAATAAATTTTTCTCGATAGAAACGTCAGTTAAAGTTGACTAGGCTGAAGGCAAGAGTGCTGCGTGTTTTCCTTTCATTGTGAGTTCCTATGCTATAAGGAGAAAATTATAATCCCACTTATTTGTAATAGAGTTTAGGTAACTTTTAAGTTGTAAGAGTGTAGTGCCAGATTCAATAATATATCACCACATTATCTGAAGTCCTGAACATCATTGTGGAATAACGACTTTCAACAAAGGAAAAAAAAAGGAACAAAATAATTTATTTGACCTGATTTGACAAATACAGAGATGGAGACTTGTTGGCAGAGAACAGCACTGGGAACAGGGCCACCACTCCCTTTTTGTTAGCAGAACAACAACAACAACAACAAAATGCTGTTGCTTCCATTTTCATGGAACTGGTTTAGAGTGAATTAGAGTCTTAAATTGAAAGGTGTGGCAGACAAATACAGGTAGTGCAGCATACAGGTAGGTCATCTTCAGATTTCCTTCCCTCGGTCCCACACACGGTGTAGCATCCACATCCAGAATCCAAGAGCCTCATACCGCAGACCTTACAGAAAAGACACATTTTTAGACAAACTTTGTCCACTCGAAGATTTACTAACCGACATATCCTAAGCTCTGTAACTCTAAGTCAACAGCGTGTCGTCATAAATATGGCATTACCATTCAAGCCAAATCCAGTTTCTTCTGTGTTTCTGATAGCTTTTCCTGGAGTCGTTTTTTCCTCCAGTCCAGAAACCTTCTCCTCATTCTGTTCGCCTGCCACCCCGCCAAGAAGCCGGCAGCGAAAGAAACCACAACGGCGACCTGTAGTGTCCTCTCCGAGACGTCTGCCATGTTCACCTCTGTCTGACAGATGCACACATTTGTGTAAGCATGAAAATCTTAATACAGGAAGTGAACTCCTGCGAGTCTTTTTCTTCTTCTTCTTCTTGTGCTGGGTTTACTAGCAATTAGCTAACTGCTCAAGCGTGCCACCTACTGGGCTGAAGTGTGTAGCAGAAGGTTAGCAGACAAGCTAAAGTTGAGAAAATAGCAACTAAGTACCTAATTACCTAATTAACTAAATAAATAAATTCTTTATTAAGACCATTCTTCTTATAAGTGTTGAATACTGACTAAGTGTTTACTACAGCGTTTCTTTTAATTTCTGGATACCTTTTTCAAACACAGATATGCTTTTTAAATATCATAGACTCACTGGTTACTTTATTAGGCACACCTGTTTAGCTACTCATTAATATAAATTTCTAATTACCCAATCATAGGATGGCAGCTGAATGGATTTAGGTATGTATGCATGGTCAAAACAACATGGTAAAGTTCAAACTGAGCATCAGAATGGGGAAGAAATGGGATTTAAGTGACTTTTAATGTGCTATTGTTGTTGGTCTGAGTATTTTAGACACCGCTACTCTGTTTGGAAAGAAAAAAATATCCAGTGAGTGGCTGTTCTTTGAGTGAAAATGCCTAGTTGATGCCAGAGGTCAGAGAAGAATGGCCATACTGCTTCAAGCTGTAACTGTAACTCAAATAACCACTCGTCGTCACAACCAAGGTATGCAACTTTTGGAATGTGGTGGAGTATGACATTTGCATCATGGATCTACAGCCAACAAATCTTGTCATGCTATCATGTCAACATGGAGCAAAATCTTGAGACAAGTTTTCAGCGCCTTATTGAATCTGTGCAATGAACTGTTAAGGCTGTTCCGAAGCTAAAAGCAATAGCAAGATTTACCTAATAAAGTGGCGTGTGAGTATAGCAGTCACTTCCTGTGTTGCTGAGGTTTGTGAATTTTTCCTTTGTGATGCTTTTTATATCCCTTCATCATGTGTTTCTATGTCAACAATCAAATCACAGCTTAAATGAACACTTATTAGTAATATAGTAATAATAGTAATATTAGTTATTGAAAGTGCAAAGAAAAATTCTGAAAATTGGAAAGCAATTTGTGGTTGCTTGTTGTAGCTTGTT